GAGGGGTGAGGGCATGGTAATCGTGAGGTTGAGAGGGTGGTCGAGGATGAGGGGATGGTAGTCGTGAGGGGTAAGGTGGTAATCGTGAGGGGTGAGGGTGATAGTCGTGAAGGTGAGGGATGGTAGTCGTGAGGGGTGTAAGGGGTGGTAATCGTGAGGGGGAGGGGTGGATAGTCGTGGAAGGAGGTTGGTAGTCGTGAGGGGTAGGTTGTAATCGTGAGGGGTGTAGGTGGTAATCGTGAGGTAAGGAGGGGGTGGTAGTCGTGAGAGGTGAGGGGTGGTAATCGTGAGGGGTGAGGGGGGGTGAGGTCGTGGAGAGGTGAGGTGGTAACGTGGGGGTGAGGGGGTGATAGTCGAGGGGTGAGGGGTAATGTGGAGAGGTGAGGGTGGTAATCGTGAGGTGAGGGGGTGATAGTCGAGAGGTGAGGGGTGGTAATCGTGAGGTGAGGGGTGATAGTCGAGGTGAGGGTGGTAGTCGTGAGGGGGAAGTGCTTGATGACCTTGACTTTCAGGGAGGAAGTGGACGGACTGTGTAGAAAGGTCGACCAAGGCCAAATTACTAGTTTTCTCTGATGGTTGACATTTAAAGGTGGTTTTTCGTCAAGGTCATGTGGTTGAAGATGGGTTTTTGAGAGATGGATTCCTACGTCTCTAAACTAAATCAAAATAGAAAAGTTCATCTTCATACAAAATATAATAATTAAGTGTCTTGTACTGCCTCAATGTTAGAATTACCCTGAACATTTCACAATTAACACAATAGTAACCCAGACATGAGTTTAGAAGATTTTCACCTATAGTGGAAAAATTGTGTGTGTGGGAGTGAATACATCTTGATCCACCTGTTGAACCTGTGTATGTGTTTGGTGATGTACAGTGATTAGGTGAGACGCGCGAGTCTTATACAGCTGAGGAAAAAATGTTATGTTTCAGTTTCCATGTTTAAAATTTCATCACCCCAGACTATGACAGAGTATGAACAGTAGTACAGGAGACAGTGGTCATAAGTTCACATAAAATAAGGAAAAGGTAAGGTAAGGGACATCTCCATTTGAACTTCATTAAGGATGCTAACGAGTTGTCCATCAGGTGAAGGAAGAAGTTATTGAAGTGCTGAGTGAGAGACGACACAGGTCTATCTTCTCTCACCATGACCTTAATAACTAAATAAGACGAATTATATTACCTGTAAATCATGTGTCTTGAGTCCATCATTAAAATTGCTATGTATCTTGAGAAATATTTATGTATGTGTTGTTTGATAATAGTTATGCTGCTGTGCGTGTGTCACCTGTCAACAGAGAAGACAGGAACCAAAATATTACGTCATATATAATACACTACTAAATATTAACTCTTTAGAATGTAGAATTTAGTTAAGATATTCTGCCATATGCTAGCGAATATAATAAGTATTAGAGCTAGTATACAGTAATTTTGATCCTTAAAATACAACCCTTAAGGCAATGATCAATGCCAGCCTGTAGTCCTATCCTGTAACACTGTAGTCCTGTCCTATACCAGTCTGTAACCTGTCCTGTACCAGCGTGTAATCCTGGCCTATACCAGCCTCTCGTCCTGTCCAGTACCAGCCTGTACCCTATCCTTTACTTGTCTGTAGACTCCTCCTGTACCAACTGTAGATGTGCTATCTACTGCCCTGTAGTCTTATCTTGTACATTCTGTAGTTGTATACTGTAATGTCCCTTAGTTCTAAATTGCACCCACCTGTAATACTTTCATGTGCTAACCTGTAGTTTTGTCCTGTACTAGCCTTTTATCACCCTGTAGTATGTCCTTGCATTGGCCTGTAATCTGCCCCTGCATCAGCCTATAATCTATTAGCATCAACCTGTAGTCTATCCCTGCACCTACCTGTAGTCTCATCAACCTGTAGATGAGATCTGCATCACCCTGTAACGTAGCTCTCCACCTTGTTCCACTTTTATATCATGCTAACTTAGATTAAAACGTTATACCACCCTGTAATAATACCTTGCACCAACCTGTAACACTTCTCTTCACCAGCCTGTAATGCTTCTCTTCACCGGCCTGTAACGCTTCTCTTCACCAGCCTGTAACGCTTATCTTCACCAGCCTGTAACGCTTCGTCACCAGCCTGTAACACTTCTCGTCACCAGCCTGTAACGCTTCTCTTCACCAGCCTGTAACGCTTCTCTTCACCGGCCTGTAACGCTTCTCTTCACCAGCCTGTAACGCTATTATTCACCAGCCTGTAACGCCTCTCTTCACTAGCCTGTAACGCTATTATTCACCAGCCTGTAACGCCTCTTCACTAGCCTGCAACGCTTCTCTTCACCAGCTTGCAACGCTTCTCTTCACCAGCCTGTAACGCTATTATTCACCAGCCTGTAACGCCTCTCTTCACTAGCCTGTAACGCTTCTCTACACCAGCCTGTAACGCTATTATTCACCAGCCTGTAACGCCTCTTCACTAGCCTGTAACCTTCTCTTCACTAGCCTGTAACGCTTCTTCACTTTAGCCTGTAACGCTTCTCTTCACTAGCCTGTAACGCCTCTCTTCACTAGCCTGTAACGCTTCTTTTCACCAGCCTGTAACGCTTTTCTTCACCAGCCTGTAACGCTTTTCTTCACCAGCCTGTAACGCTTCTCTTCACTAGCCTGTAACGCTTCTCTTCACTAGCCTGTAACGCCTCTCTTCACTAGCCTGTAACGCCTCTTTTTCACCAGCCTGCATCAACCTTTAGCTCTGTATTCCCGGCCGACGGTAGAGTCTCTCCATTAACCCTGCCGTCTTCCTCCTCCTCCTCCTCCTCCTTCCCTCCTTCTTCCCTCCTTCTCCTTCATATCCTCTTTCCTCCTTCCCCACCTCCTACTACTCCTTTTCTCTTTTACCCTTCTCTTTCTTCTCCCCCTCCTCCTCCTCACCCCTCCTCCTTCTCCCTTCTCATCACCCCTCCTCCTTCCCCTCCTTATCCTTCTTCGCCTTCTTTTCCTCCTCCTCCTCCTTAGTGTTAAGTTCACCTCTTCGTCAGTAGTGGGTGTCTGTGGAGGTCCTTGCACTGCTAGACTCTTACTTGTACTGAACTGACCAGAACTTCTCTCGACCAGATCCTTCTCTCGACCAGATCCTTCTCTCGACCATATCCTTCCCTCGACCAGATCTTTCCTCGACAGATCCTTCCCTCGACCAGATCCTTCCCTCGACAGATCTTTCCCTCGACCAGATCCTTCCCTCGACCAGATCCTTCCCTCGACCAGATCCTTCCCTCGACCAGATCCTTCCCTCGACCAGATCCTTCCCTCGACCAGATCCTTCCCTCGACCAGATCCTTCCCTCGACCAGATCCTTCCTTCGACCAGATCCTTCCCTCGGACCAGATGCTTCCCTCGACCAGATCCTTCCCCTGTTGTTCCTTTTATTACTTGCTGTTTCTTTTTTACCTGCTATTCCTTTTATTATATCCTGTTCCTTTTTTACCCTATGTTCCTTTTTTTACTTTCTGTTCCTTTTATTAACTACTGTTCGTTTTTTCCTGCTGTTCCATTTTTTACCTGCTGTTCCTTTATTACCTTCTGTTCCTTTTTTTACTGCTATTCCTTTTTACCTGCTGTTCCTTGCTCTACCTATACGCATTTTATTTTCTTGCCTCTCTGTAAATGTTGTTCCTTACTTCACTCAGTGTTCCTTACTCCACTGCCAATGCTCCTTACTTCCCTCCCAGCGTCTGTACTTCACTCCAGTGATCTTTACTTCCCCTCCATTGTTCCTCACTTCCTTACCAGTGTCCCGTACTTCACACCAGTGTTCCTTACTTCACCTCACTGTTCCTTACTTCACCCCACTGTTCCTTAACTCACCTCACTGTTCCGCAATTCCCTCCCAATTCTCCTTACTTCACGTGTTACAGAACTTTCCAAATCTCTTTCTCGTCCACATTTTCATATTACATTTATCATTTGTTTGTCTCTGCTCTCTCATCTCTTTCTTATTAACGTTTTATTGTCTGATTATTCTTCATTCCTTCGCTTCCTTCTTCTTTGTTATTTTTCCTCATATTGTTTCTTTCTTTATTATGTGTTATATTATTCTCTCTGCCTTGTGTTATCTTCTGTTCCTTGTTTTTCTTGTTATTCTCTTTTCCTATGCCTTTATCCGTTGCTCTTTTTCTATTTGTGTTTCCACCTATTTTTCCTCTTCTTTGTCCTCCACGTTCCTCATTTTCTTGTTCCACGTTGTCCTTGCCTATGCTCTTTCCTGTATTTTTTCTTCCTTTATCCGTCTTTCTTCTTCTCTTAATCAACATCAACTTTTCCTCACGTTGTCGTTTATTTATATTTATCCCCTTTCACTATCTCCCCCCCCCCTCCTCTCCGTCTCTCTTTTATCTGGTGCTTCTCTTCCTATCCACGTTCTATTCCGCCTTTGTTATTTTTTTCGCTGTTTTTCTTTTTCGTTTGGATCTTCGTAATCTGTTTTGTCTTTGTCTTGGTGATTGTTACTTTTATTTTTCTTTATTTTGTTGTTAACTTATATTTCCTTTATCTCTATTCACATGCTTTATCTTCAGGCTTTTTTTAGTAAAGCGATTTTGCTGTTTTCTCTTGAACAAACATATATACTGTCACTCAAAAACTATCTCTACTTCGGGGGGGCGGGGGCGGGGTAGATGAATATCAGAATGAACACTGCGACTCGTGTTATCTCGATGGAGTTGTCAAAATCCTTCGTCCATTGAGTGATATTTTTCAACACAATTTTGTATAGATAGTTTTTTAAGTGACTACGTATTTTCTTTTTCTCTCTTTCGTCCTCTCCTCTCTGATTTATCCTAAACCATCCTGAAATATATCCTTTTTTATCCCTAGTTATATACCGGTTATATAATTACCAACTCCCATCCTCCCTCCCTGTGCAGCCAAGTAGACAGGCCAATATAGTGTACAGTAGTTGCACCAGGTCCTTCACTAGCTCCTGCTCTTGCCCCACCTGTAAAAATACAACAGCTTACCTGTAGATTTCAGGGGCAAGGCCGTCACCACCCTGTGTCCCGCCTCCACTCACCACCCCGGGCTCGGCGTGACGGTGGTGACTGCTACGGGCATACATCCTCCTCTTCCACCACCAACACCAACACCACCATCATCATCATCATCACCACCGTCACCACTAACACCACCACCACCGCCAACAATACATTACCAAAACCACAAGCACCACCACCACGCCCACAACCACGCCCACCCCACCGCCAGCGTGCCGCCCACCCGAGCCCCCGGCATGGCCCAGCTGGAAAGTGAGTACCAATGAGTTACTCGATCCCACACACTCTCTCCCCATCCTCTCAACCTTCATCCACACTGTTAAAACTTGACTCCCGTTAGTGATGGCCCTCCCCCAACCATTACCTTCTCCAGTGTGTTGCCGTGAGGAGGAGGTAGTGGTCAGGTGGGTCAGACAGCGAGAAGTATTGATGGTGTGGTTGTGCATTGTGGCGCTGTATCCTCGTGTTTTGGTTGCCTTTCACTGTATCGACTGTCTCACCTGCTCTTACCGTCAGTACCCAAACAATTCTTAACACATTCAATCACATTATTAAGATACTTTATTCATTAGTTTCAACAGTTTAATAATATTGTACACTCTGTTACCACACGAAATCATTATTACTTCAGTACCCTTCATTATAATTTGTCATTAACCTATCACCTGATCCGTGTTATCCTGGTTTCGTTACTGCATTGCTCTAGTCATCACTCGCTTTACACTGGCACTTGTGTCTTTTCACTGTCGGCCTTATTACATTACCTTGGCCATCACCTGAATGCACTCATCTGGATGCCATTACCACTGTATCACTATTATGTTTGGTCTTGACTTGATCGCTGTGGCATCCTTTCTCTTCACCATCACCTCGGCACCATTATATCTTGACGACATTATCACCCTGCCATCATCTTCGCCCTGATACAACCATCATTTGGACGCTATTATTGGCATTGTCACCATCACCACCTTATCACCATCACCACCTTTTCACCATCACCACCTTATCACCACCTTATCACCATCACCACCTTATCACCATCACCACCTTATCACCATCACCACCTTATCACCATCACCACCTTATCACCATCACCACCTTATCACCATCACCACCTTATCACCATCACCACCTTATCACCATCACCTCCTTGTCACCATCATTACGTTATCACCATCACCATCACCACCTTATCACCACCTTATCACCATCGCCACCTTATCACCATCACCACCTTATCACCATCACCACCTTATCACCATCACCACCTTATCACCATCACCTCCTTGTCACCATCACCTTATCACCATCACCATATTATCACCATCACCTCCTTGTCACCATTATTACGTTATCACCATCACCACCTTATCACCATCACCACCTTATCACCATCACCTCCTTGTCACCATTATTACGTTATCACCATCACCACCTTATCACCCATCACACCACCTTATCACCATCACCACCTTATCACCATCATACCCTTATCACCATCACTCATATCACCATCACCACCTTATCACCATACCACCTTATCACCATCACCACCTTATAACCATCACCACCTTGTCACAATCGTTACGTTATCATATCACCACCTTATCACCACCATATCTGCATCATACCTTATCACCATCACCGCCTTTACACCATCACCTTATCACCATCACCACCTTATCACCATCCACCACCTTATCCACCATCACCACCTTATCACCATTACTACCTTATCCACCATCACCACCTTATCACCATCTGCATGTATCCTTACCTTATCACCATCATCCTTGTCACCATTACTGCGTTATCTACATCACCACCTTATCACCATCACCACCCCACCTTATCACCATCGCCCACCTTTATCACCATCTTACTCCTTATCACCATCACCACCTTATCACCATCACCACCTTATCACCATCACCACCTTGTCACAATCATTACGTTATCACCATCACCACCTTATCACCACCTTATCACCATCGCCACCTTATCACCATCGCCACCTTATCACCATCGCCACCTTATCACCATCACCTCCTTGTCACCATCACCACGTTATCACCATCACTACGTTGACACCTTGATACTATTGTCACCGTGACATCATCATCACCCTGACACCATTGCCACCATCACCTTCACACGTTCCTTTTATTGACATCATCATCTTGGCAATATCTTCGTCACCATAACATCTTCATTAAGTTGGCGCTATCATCACCTTGACACTAACTTCATTACCTAGGCATTGTCATCACCTTGACACCATAATTTTCTTGACACCATCATGGCTTTGACATCATCATCGCCTTGACATCATCACCACCTTGACATCGTCGCCTTGACATTACTATTACCTTGACATCATCATCACCTTGACATCATCATCTTAACATCATCACTACCTTAACATTATCAACACATTGACATCATCACTTCCTTGACATCATCACCACCTTGACATCATCATCACCTTGACATCATCATCGCTTTGACATTATCATCACCTTGAAATCATCAATACCTTGACATCATCATCATCACCTTAACAACGCTATCACCCTAACATCATCATCGCCTTGACATCATCATCACCTTGACATTATCATCACCTTGGCATTATCAACACCTTGATATCATCATCGCCTTGACATCACCATCACCTTGACATCATCATCGCTTTGACATTATCATCACCTTGAAATCATCAATACCTTGACATCATCATCACCTTAGACATTATCATCACCTTGACATTATCAACACCTTGATATCATCATCGCCTTGACATCACCATCACCTTGACATCATCACCGCCTTGACATCATCACCGCCACCTAGACATCATTATCACCATACAATCTTCATCACTTTCACATGTTCACCCTCTTGCTGCCATAATCACCATAACTCAGCGACCGGCTTGAGACTGCCTTTACTTATCATCATCTTTCCAACCATCACATCATCATCGCCTTGACATCAACGTCACTTTATGATGATCACCATCATTTTGACATCAAATCAATCACGATGACATGCTCTCCACATATTTATCATGTTAACACCATTATTAACTTAACACTATCATCACCACGACACCATCGCCACCTCCAGCACCATTGTCACCTCCAGCACCATTGTCACCTGTCACTTCCAGCACTATTTTCACCTGTCACTTCCAGCACGATTGTCACCTGTCACTTCCAGCACCATTAAAATTTGTCACTTCCAGGACCATTGTCACCTGTCACCTCCAACACCATTGTCACCGGCCACTTCAGCACCATTGTCACCTGTCACTTCCAGCACTTGTCACCTGTCACCCCCAGCATTAGTCACCTGTCACTTCCAGCACCATTAAAACTTGTCACCTCCAGGACCATTGTCACCTGTCACCTCCATCACCTTTGTCACAGGTCACTTCCAGCACCATTGTCACCTTGTCACTTCCAGCACTATTTTCACCTGTCACTTCCAGCACGATTGTCACCTGTCACTTCCAGCACCATTAAAATTTGTCACTTCCAGGACCATTGTCACCTGTCACCTCCAACACCATTGTCACCGGCCACTTCAGCACCATTGTCACCTGTCACTTCCAGCACTTGTCACCTGTCACCCCCAGCATTAGTCACCTGTCACTTCCAGCACCATTAAAACTTGTCACCTCCAGGACCATTGTCACCTGTCACCTCCATCACCTTTGTCACAGGTCACTTCCAGCACCATTGTCACCTGTCACTTCTAGCACCATTTTCGCCTATCACTCCAAACAACAGTTAACTGCCTCCCTGCCCCATTACTTTTCACTCTGTTAAATAATTTTGTCACCTGTCACTTCAGCACCACATTGTTACCTTTCTCACTTCCAGCACAATTGCCACCCGTCACTTCCAGCACCAGCTGTTACCCAACACCTCCAGCACCATTGTCACCATCACTTCCAGCACCATTGGTCACCTGTCACTTCCAGCACCATTGTTACCTGTCACTTCCAGCACCACAAATGCCCGTCACTTCCAGCACCACTGTCACCTGTCACTTCCAGCACCACTGTCACCCGTCACTTCCAGCACCATTGTCACCTGTCACTTCCAGCACCACATTGTCACCTGTCACTTCCAGCACCATTGTCACCTGTCACTTTCACCACTATTGTCACCTGTCACTTCCATTGTTACCTGTCACTTCCAGCGCCATTGTTACCTGTCACTTCCACAGCAAATTCATTGTTAGCCCTGTCACCTATAGCCATTGTTACATGTCACTTCCACACCATTATCACCTGTCACTTCCTGGTGATCATTGCCACCTGTCACCATCCGCTCCATTGTCACCTGTCACTTCCAGCACCCATTGTCACCTTGTCACTTCCTCAAAACATACATTGTCACCTCGTCACTTCCAGCATCACTGTCACCTGTCACTTCCAGCACCTGTCACCTGTCACGAGCACCATTGTCACCTTTCACTTCCAGCACCATTGTCACCTGTCACTTCCTGCACCACTGTCACCTGTCACTTCCTGCACCATTGTCACCTGTCACTTCCAGCACCATTGTCACCTGTCACTTCCTGCACCATTGTCATCTATCACTTCCAGCACCATTGTCACCTTTCACTTCCTGCACCATTGTCACCCATCACTTCCATCGCCATTGTCACCTTTCACTTCCTGCACCACTGTCACCTGTCGCTTCCTGCACCATTGTCACCTGTCACTTTCAGCACCATCGTTACCTGTCACTTCCAGAACCATTGTCACCTTTCACTTCCTGCACCACTGTCACCTGTCACTTCCTGCACCATTGTCACCTGTCACTTCCTGCACCATTGTCACCTATCACTTCCAGCACCATTGTCACCTTTCATTTCCTGCACCATTGTCACTTGTCAACTCCAGCACCATTGTCACCTGTCACTTCCAGGATCATTGCCACCTGTCACCATCCTGCTCCATTGTCACCTGTCACTTCCAGCACCATTGTCACTTGTCAACTCCAGCACCATTGTCACCAGCCACCTGTCACCATCCTGCTCCATTGTCACCTTCACTTCCTGCACCATTGTCACGGTCAACCTGTTCATTGTCACCTGTCACTTCCTAGACTATTGCCACCTGTCACCATCCTGCTCCAGGCTGTCACCCGTCACTTCCAGCACCATTGTCACCTGTCACTTCCTAGCATCATTGTCACCTGTTACTTCCAGCACCATTGTCATCTGTCAATTCC